TTTGAAGGCTGTACCAAGTGCTGAAGTTTCTTTAGTGCATCACATGTGCATATTAAACATTGAATTTATATATTTGTTTGACTATTGCACATTGAGTTGTTTAACCACTGAAATCTTATGTATGTTTAAAGCTACCACTGTGTGAAACATGTTTGCTTTTGAGGTAATTCTTTGCAGATATAGGTTGTGTCCTTTTAAGGAATTTCATTGTAAAGCAGCAGCAGTGGAGATGGTTCGGCCTGGTGTGAAACTAAACAAACTGGTGATTTACATTGGGCTGCTGTCAACTCCCTCAACCTAAAGGAATGCAGAGATATTCCAAGGAAGATTCAAGGCGTTACCTGTCCAACATATTATTTGCATATTCATATGAATGTCTATAAAACCTGGGTTAAGTTAGTTCAGAGGCAGTCAGATTGCCTGATCTTAAGACCTCTGTAGCCATAGGCAGTTAGGGACAACAATCTGACCCAGAGCTCTGTATTAGAATTGTATTGTATAGGGAATTAATTCTTTTTGTTTTTAATCGATCGATTCCAGTGGTTATTTTTAAGAGAACACGCTGAACGGTTTTTTGAGGATACCTAACAGGTTAGACGGGAGTTACCTGTCACTGCAGATGGAGGCGCGCGGCACCATGCACTTGACTCAAGGTGCATTGATGCGGCCAAGCAGAGAAACTGTTAAAGTATGTTAATCATGTCCTCAGTTGTATGTCACAGGGAGGTGCTACAGGTTACAGGTTACAGAAGGCAGGTGTGTGTCAATTTATATATTTTTGTTCACTTGAGCTTGCCGTAGTTCTCGGAGCCAGTTCTCCAATAAATATGCCAAAAAGCGGCCGATTAAATGTCATTTTTTATCTGCTCTTTTTCACCCAAATGCAACGCTGGCTGTAACAAAAGTACACCGTAACTCAACTTTAAAAATAATGAAAAACTGGACTGTGTGGCAATTTGGACATTTGTGTGAATGGACAGGAGCAGGAGACCTTCATTACCTGTCTCCAAAGACCAGGGTGCAGGAGAACACGCTGTGAAGCCCAGTGTGTTGCGAGAGTCTCAGTCAGACAGAGGCACTGAAAGGATCAATAATTTAGAAATTTGGATATTTTCATGAATAAGGGCTCAAGAATTGGAATTTTACGGGGTCATGGAGGACAGAGCCTCTTACACAGGACCCAAAATGTATGTGGACAAAAAGTTGAGCAGCGAGAAAGGAGCTCTGATAAAAGCTTCTAGAGAGCCGCTTCTCACGAGATACTTTTTACAGGATTGCATGAGTTTCTCTGGATTGCGGGATAATTTGTTGGGATCGCAGGATAATTTGTTGGGATTCTTTTTATCACCCCACAGCCCTGGCGGGGCTCCGTAGTAATGTAACTCTTGTATATTGTTCTCAAGTCTCATGAGGCTGTGGGTATGGCGGGTTACAGTTACACATCATCTTTGACGGACTATTTGTTCTCTGTTCTGTTCTATTTGTTCACCTTTCATAAACCCAGGTGCGCTGATCAAATGCGCTTCCCCAAAACAACAATAGAACCAACACCATTATGCAGAATCCAACATAACATAATATAAACTGTAAAAAAAATGAGTGCAAAATAATATAAATGAATTCTCCAAAATAATGTGCAAAATAACAATGACCCAAAACAATGTTGATACATCAAATAATGTATGTCCAATATATATGTCAAAGGTTACAATATGTTTTAGTGAAAAGGGTCTTCAATTGAAAATGAGCTGTTTGGTGGAAGGGCGCCCCCTGCTGTGTGCGGTCAACACAGCAGGGGGCGCCGTTCGACCATTTTCTGATTCCAAACAAAAATAACGAGAAGGTTCAGCGTTTGTGGATCATAACTTTGGAGATTTCTGTCTAAAAACAGTGAATCTTCCACAGAGTGAAAGGCCCCTGCCCTCCACCTGAGACGATGCCATGAGACTGTAGAACGTGAGCGCGGCCTGCTGGTGTGTTAAAGTGAGAAACCTACAGTCTAGTGTTTGATTGCGTAAACGTTACAATTATATAAATGGAGAAGGAGGACAGATTTCCCTTCGTTTCCTTCGCACTGTGGTCTCGTCCTTCTCACTCCACAGGGGACTACACACTGTCTCTGGTGACTCTGTCTCGCCTCGGGGCCATGGCAGTGTTTCTTATGACAGACCCACACTCAGGACGCGTCTCTCCGGTTTGGTCAAACGGATCGTCCCTCGTTTGGAATGCGCCAGCTCCACCCGTCGCCCCGCCCACGCCGCAGGTGCGTCCCAAACAAACGCGGAAGTTTTGGAACCGACGCGCCGCTCCTCGGCTGCTCTTCTTTCCATGGAGTTCACCTCGTTTCCCCCCCGGCTCTGAGCTCTGTTCTCCGGTGTGCGCTCTGACAGAGAAGTTTTACTTGTCTTGTTGTGTTCAAGCTGTATCAGGTGATCTTGCTGATGCATCGGCTGACTCATTAAAGATAATGTACCGGGAGAAACAAATAGTAATGGTAAACATCATGAGGTTAACACAGAACTCTGGGGAATTGCTAGAGGCTCTACCACCTGGAATGTGAAACCTGTGTATAATGGGGGCTGTGTCAGTGGAAGCTTGTCAGTCATGAGACAACATGTGAACAGGTACTGTATTCAAAGTAACCTACTGTATGCTAACTGTGTGCTCTACAATAAAAGGCCGATGGAGAGAAGAGAGCTTCAGTTAGGATGAGACAGGCAGCTCTCTCCTACTCCTTGCGACAGGCAGAGCTCTCTCTTACTCCTTGCGCAAGTAAAACCAACCACTGTGTCCCTGGCGTGTTCTTTAATATTTGAGGTCGGGGTCAATTCCCTGACATAAGTTGGTCCTTCGAGCCGGATCGCAACGCCATTCCATGGAGGGTGATCGACGAAGACTGAAGTCTGTGCACAGCTGGGGTGACCAGTCCAGCCTTGAGTAAGACCACTTTTCTACGTGGCCGGTCCACGGCGATCATCCTCCACTGGAGCAGCCGACGCGATCCGAACGAAGAACTCCAGAGCGACACGAGTGAGTAGAGAAATTCTTCATTCTGTATGAGACCAGGACTGGGTCAAAAGGACCCTGTTAGATAAGGAAATCTAACTAAAACAAAGTAGGAAGTCATCCGTATGAGACCAGAGTAGGTCAAAAGGACGTGTTAGGCAGACTAACTGGATGACTCACCCGATTTGTTTGTATGAGACCCGAGCCAGGTCAAAAGGACGTGGTTAGAATAAAGCAGCTTTCTAACTGAATGAAGTAGGTCGACCAAGTAGATAAAAACCTAGGGAAGACTAAAGACTGAACAGACCTTTTTGGACTATTTTTTTCTTACTAACTCACCATAGTGTCTACAAACGGAAGACTAAAACCTTATAATAGCGGTGAGTTATACACCCGGTCAAAAACCGCCAGGGGGCGCTCTCCCTCGGGTAGAAGCTTGTTTTTGACGTTATTATAAGGGCATTTCGTATTCTTTCCGTATTGTACTCACGTCGGCACATATCTGAAACTAACATGGACGAAAAATTAGCACGTAAAAAACTGGAGGAGAAAATAGCAAATAAAAAACAAAGTGATCTGGTTAAACAGATGGAAAGAATTTCCAGAAAGCACGAAATACCTAGACAAATAGGAAAAGAGATATAATTTCAAGCCTTCACTAAATAAAGTCCCAATTGATGAATTGATAAATCAGCTATTGATACACGACAAGCAGAAAATTAGAAGTGGGGAGAAAAGGCGCAACAGCCCAGCACCCTCCCCCTAGTGCGCCTCGATTAGTACGAAAAGAGAGTAAGATAACAGAGACAGAGGCAATTGTTCTAGTTAAAAAAACAAACAAACAAAAAACTGAGCCCTCAATAGGCTGTAGGCTAGTGAAAGATCTAAGAGCAGATCCGAAGTAAAATACTTAGGACATAACTTAAACCCTCAAGGGAGAATTGCTCTGATAGGAAGTTAGCAATACAAAAAAAAAAAAAAAATCAAAAACCTATCACTAACAAATGATGGCTTTGATGAATCACAAAGTAATCAGTGGACCTCTTCCCAACATAGGCCAAAGGAAGAGGGACAAATTTACCCGAATGCTTCATCTAAAAAATTAATATGGCATGTTAAAAAATGTCTGGAAGAGAAATTTTGACTATGCTTTATGTAATGTTAATTTCGAGGCTAGGCTAAGGGTGTTAAAATAGGAAACATAAAAAGTTCATTAAAGGAGTACAGGGTATAATAACAACCAGCAGTCAAAAATGTTGATTATTATAAATGTATTAAAAGTAAAATGAGAGGCAAAGATAAATTATGAGCGAATAAAGTACAAAAGTTAAAGTAACAAATAAATAAATAAATAAAGTAGAGTCTATGAATGAAAGTAGTTAATTTTCGTTGTTTTATTATAAACTACAGATTGAAGACAGTTTGTATAAATCCAAGGTTAAATAATACAAAACAAATAGTCTGTCCCTGACAGTTCATCTGAGAGTTTAAGAGACCTGACAGACCGTACAGCTGAAAGGTCCACAAGAATGAGACCAGGTCTAACCCAGGTCTTCTAGCCTGTTCTAGACCAGGACTACGAGACCTGGTACCGCACTAAGTCCAAACCAGCTCCACGTACTTGGAACTAAACCAGGTCTTAAACCAGGTCTGTGCTGTCGCCATGGTGACAGCGACTCATTTGCATAAACAGGTTAAACGGGTGTGAGCTAAATGTGCTGTTTGGGATCTGACCTCACTCCTCACCACTCCTACACCAGACTCAGTGACAGAGCTCTAATAAACACAAAGATGAACCAGTGTGTCAAACGAGCAGTTCACACTCAACTCTACGAGACTTATTTAAACCATTTCAAAGGCATTCAGGGTTACTGTGTCACAGAGGAGGGAGAGTGGTGCAGAGGAATGAGAGGAGGGTGCAGAGGAGGAGGGAGCGTGGGTGCAGAGGAGTAAAAGCAGTACTAAAATTCTAAAAAAAAGTGTCTTTTATTTCAGGTTCATTTTCCTGAGGTGGAGAAAGTGGACTGGGTCAATAAGGTACTGTGGTATTTTTGTAACCTATATTTATATAATGTTTTTTATCATCATGATCAATTTTATCATTTGCATGATTAAAGAAATCCTCCATTCATTGTTGTGGATAACATGAGGGGTGTTTCCAAAAGCCTGAACTTTTTAAACACTGGCAGTGATCAAAAAAGGGACAGAATTGTGATTTTTCATCAGCCTCATTTCTGCAACAAAGATCAGGCCAGGATGTTTAACATAAACCACGTCTAAGCCATAAACCTGGTCTACATCATAAACCTGGTCTACATCATAAACCTGGTCTACATCAGGTCTAAACCAGATCTAAACCAGGCCTAAACTCCTGTAGAAGTTCTATAAGAAGGTACAGTTCTGTTTGTATTTGTGTTATTTATTAGCAGTGCATATTAAAAAACAACATCATGTAAGAGACAAACATGGACTTGTAAATATGTCCGATTGTTGCCAAAGCTCATTTCCATCCTTAATCCCTGATGGACCAAAGCCACAACACGTACACATGTGATGTAGAGTTAGTGTAAGTATAAGAAGTAGCAGCAGCAGTAGTAGTACGTACAGTAGTACGTACAGTAGTACATACAGTAGTACATACTGTAGTACGTACTGTAGTACTACTGTAGTACTACTGTAGTACTAGTACTACTGTAGTGTATGTGGTCTCTGTGGTTCGTCAGGTTCTGGAACAGGCTTGGCCCTTTTTTGGAATGTTTATGGAGAAATTATTAAGAACCAACATTCAGCCTGCTGTCCGACAGTCCAACCCCGCTCTGAAGACCTTCACCTTCACCAAGGTGCACTTTGGACACGTGGTAAGTAACACACACACACACACGCACACATCTACACACACAGATACACACATACACACATACACATACATGTATGCTCACCCACATGCACACACGCACAGTGTCCCTGTCACACACACGTACAGGTGAAGTGTCCCTGTCACACACGTACAGGTGAAGTGTCCCTGTCACACACACGTACAGGTGAAGTGTCCCTGTCACACACACGTACAGGTGAAGTGTCCCTGTCACACACACGTACAGGTGAAGTGTCCCTGTCACACACATACAGGTGAAGTGTCCCTGTCACACATGTACAGGTGAAGTGTCCCTGTCACACACACATGTACAGGTGAAGTGTCCCTGTCACACACACGTACAGGTGAAGTGTCCCTGTCACACACACGTACAGGTGAAGTGTCCCTGTCACACACATGTACAGGTGAAGTGTCCCTGTCACACACACGTACAGGTGAAGTGTCCCTGTCACACACACGTACAGGTGAAGTGTCCCTGTCACACACACGTACAGGTGAAGTGTCCATGTCACACACACGTACAGGTGAAGTGTCCCTGTCACACACACGTACAGGTGAAGTGTCCCTGTCACACACACGTACAGGTGAAGTGTCCCTGTCACACACACAGGTGAAGTGTCCTGTCACACACATGTACAGGTGAAGTGTCCCTGTCACACACACAGTGACAGTGTGAAGTGTCCCTGTCACACACATGTACAGGTGAAGTGTCCCTGTCACACACATGTACAGGTGAAGTGTCCCTGTCACACACACGTACAGGTGAAGTGTCCCTGTCACACACACGTACAGGTGAAGTGTCCCTGTCACACACACGTACAGGTGAAGTGTCCTGTCACACACACGTGTGAAGCGTCCCTGTCACACACACGTACAGGTGAAGCGTCCTGTCACACACACGTACAGGTGAAGTGTCCCTGTCACACACACGTACAGGTGAAGTGTCCCTGTCACACACACGTACAGGTGAAGTGTCCCTGTCACACACACGTGTCCCTGTCACACACACGTGTGAAGCGTCCCTGTCACACACACGTACAGTGTGAAGTGTCCTGTCACACACACGTGTACACACAGTGTAAGTTCCCTGTCACACACGTACAGTGAAGTGTCCCTGTCACACACACTGTACAGGTGAAGTCCCTGTCACACACACGTGTGAAGCGTCCTGTCACACACACGTACAGTGAAGCGTCCCTGTCACACACACGTACAGTGAAGCGTCCCTGTCACACACACGTACAGGTGAAGCGTCCCTGTCACACACACGTACAGGTGAAGCGTCCCTGTCACACACGTGTGAAGTGTCCCTGTCACACACACGTACAGGTGAAGCGTCCCTGTCACACACACGTACAGGTGAAGTGTCCCTGTCACACACACGTACAGGTGAAGTGTCCCTGTCACACACACGTACAGGTGAAGTGTCCCTGTCACACACACGTTGAAGTGTCACACACACGTACAGGTGAAGTCCCTGTCACACACACGTACAGGTGAAGCGTGTCACACACGTACAGTGAAGCGTCCCTGTCACACACACGTACAGTGAAGTGTCCCTGTCACACACACGTACAGGTGAAGTGTCCCTGTCACACACACGTACAGGTGAAGTGTCCCTGTCACACACACGTACAGGTGAAGTGTCCCTGTCACACACACGTACAGGTGAAGTGTCCCTGTCACACATGTACAGGTGAAGTGTCCCTGTCACACACACGTACAGGTGAAGTGTCCCTGTCACACACACAGTACAGGTGAAGTGTCCCTGTCACACACACGTACAGGTGAAGTGTCCCTGTCACACACACGTACAGGTGAAGTGTCCCTGTCACACACACGTACAGGTGAAGTGTCCCTGTCACACACACGTACAGGTGAAGTGTCCCTGTCACACACACGTACAGGTGAAGTGTCCCTGTCACACACACGTGCAGGTGAAGTGTCTTGTATGTTTCAGCCCCTGAGGATCACTGGGATGAAGGCTTACACACATGAGGTGGATCAGAGAGAGGTGATTCTGGATCTTAATATCAG